ATTACAAGTATGCACCACCACACCCAGACTCGATTGCTGGCTCAGTGTGCCCAGGGCCTGAATAGCATGTGGTGCTAGGGATCAAACCCTGGCCCCTGCACTTAACTAACCAAGCATTTAGTCCACTGAGCTATACCACCAGCCCTCAGATGCTGTGCTTTCAAACTGAGAAGTCACTGTAGAGGTGTGGAGGTGTGATATGATTGATTGCTCACAATGTCTTTGCTACAGGATTGGATGTAGGGATAGGAGAAAGAGGAATCAAGGCTAAGTCCAAGGGATTTGAGGAACCAGAAGAAGGTGCCATTGTCTAAAATGGGAGACTTGTGTGTAATCAGGAAGGGAGTTTCTGTTTCGGAAATGGCCAGTTTCATATGCCTTTTATTACCTATATAGAGATGTCCAGTCTGTAGTTGGATAAGGGCTCATGGGATTCTGGAGGGAGGTCTATGCAGAAGATTTAAATCTGAAAGTCATCAAGGGATAGATGCTCTTTTAAAATGCCCAAGCCTGAGTGGTGTCAGTTGGACTAGGAACTTCATGGCAAAGACCCGAAGGATTGAGCCACATTGGTAAGGGTTGAAGCTTCAAATATCCCCGGGGACATTAGTGGCAAGTGTCCTGAAAAAGACTAGTTTCAGGTCATGAGGTCTCGGATTGAGGAAACTTTTATGTTATTTGTAAATACAACACAGTTTAGAACAATGATCAAAAACTGCAGGGTGGATTAGCTGCAATAAATCAATAGAAAAAAATCAGAGAGAGAGAGAGAGAGAGAGAGAGAGAGAGAGAGAGAGAGACAGAGACAGAGACAGAGACACAGAGAGATGGAGACAGAGAGACAGATAGAGAGACACTCGTCTTTCTTATAATTTCCTCATCAGTGCACTGGAGGAGAAGGTTCTGATAGTGTCCCCAGACTGTGTGTTTCAAGGCCCTGGCATTTGCATGGAAGTGGCCAGAGCGGACTAATAGCCCCAGCCTTCACTGTGCATCTCATGGCCTGTGTCACCAAGTGCCAAGGTAAGTGGATATGACGCCTCCCCAGAGACCATGTTAGGTCTGATAAAGCTCCAGTCTCTTACCCACCATTTGCCCTCAGGCCACCTGCAGGGGCTGGATACAGGGCATGGAGAGAAGCCACATGGCCCTGTGGCTCTTGGAGCTGCGAGCAGGGAGTCTGGGCCGGACATGGAGGAGACGCCTTGCTTTTAGTCCGGACCCAGCCTAGTATCCTCACTGCTGGCCCCTTGATGTCTCTGAAGTCACAGGGGGACTCCAAGGACTTTCTGATTGGCTCCCTGATGGTGTGTATGTTGAGGAGAAACAAGCTTCCCCCTGCTCTTGTGGCAAATGTGTCCAAGGCACTGCCCTCAACCCCGTCTCTTTGCCTGCCAGTGCAGACCCAACCCAAAGGCTTCCTGCTGCCAGTACCTGGAAGCCGTTCTCCTTTTTGATGGTGCATCCTCACCCCTGTGAGGCAGGCTGCAGGGACTGCTCAGTTGGCACCTCACGTTGGCCTTAATGGTTAAGCACTTGGCCTCCTTACCCTCCATTGAGCCAACCTGAGCCTTGCTGTGTGCCTCAGGGGTGCAGCAGAATGCCCACCCCATGTCCATAGCCATAACGTCTCCTTATTTAGCCCTCCATCAAGAGTTTTCCTGTGTTGATCCTTCTCTTCCTTCCCAGTGCTCCTAGGGATTACCTCCTCAGCAAACTACTTGCATTTAACTCTTTGTTTCAAGTTCTGCTTCTGAAGAAATCAATATAAAACCATCCCAAGCACAGACAGCAAACCCAAACAAAGAATCATATATCTTCTAGTTCCATTTTGTACATATTTTTGGAGCTTTTTTCCATGTAACAGGATATATCAGGCACTGTTCTTGTCCCTAGCAGGGAAATCATACACATAACTGTATTAAGCAAACACACAACCAGTGAGAAGAGGATGCGACTGTACTGAGAGGTGGTAATCAGGGAAGTCTTCACAGTGGAAGTGATGTGGAAGGTTTGGGAAGATGAGTGGGAGATTTCCAAGTATATAAACAGATGGAAAGGGAATATTTAAAACTTCAATACTGTGTAAAAGTTTCAGGGAACTACTAGTAATTTAGTATATCCTATACTGCTAAAGAATAAAACACATTTTAGAGGTGGCAAAATGTTTAGGGAAAATGGGAAAATAATTAGAATATAAGTAGATATAATTGAATCGGTAGGCAAACTCTTGTCTTCAATGTTGAAGGTGTTTAGATATTGTCTTTGAAAGATTAAAAAATTTTTTTTCAAAAAATTGTGGGTTATCTTTTTTGATTGTGTATCAAATGCTCACTATAGAAAAGTTGGTGCACATAAAGAGGCACAAAGAAGAAAATGAAACAACCTCAAATCCAGGGATAATTAAAGTACAGTGATGTGTTGGTGTATCCCAGAGGAGCTTTAGACACAGAAGCCAAGTGGCCAGACTTGAGTTTCACAAAGAGGCCTGCAAGCTGGTGTGGATTCCACAGTTGGAAAAGTACTGGACTGGACATGGGATGAGCAGTGAGGAGACTGCTGCCCGGAACGGTGCTGGGCATTCTGAGGGGGTGCAGTGGGCATATTGGAGCTTCCCAGGTATGTAGAAAGTGACTCTCCCACAACATGATGACCAGCTGGACAGGACAGGGTGGCGAGAAAGAGGGGACCATGACTTCTACAGTGATTCTGAGTGTCTACGTGCTATGTCGGTGAAGAAGACAAATGCTAAGGGCAAAAACTCCTGGAGCAGGGAGATCTTTTCAACTCCTCCACTTCCAAACCATGAGCTCTCAGTCAGTGTTCTGAACCGAAAAATGGAAAGGTGATTCTACGCATTCTTCTCTCACAGACTTGCTGTCATTTTCTATAATCCAAAGGAGATGAGTACCCTTGAGGTGTGGAAATCTCTAGCTTCACTTCCTGCCCTACAACCTCTGCTCCATCTCATCCCTGGCCTCCGATCTCTGATCCACAGTCCCCCCAAAGGCCAGGACAAACTGACTGATCTCCAAGTTTCCCTTCCTCTCTTTTCTGTGTCTTACCCAGAGGACCTTTGTCACACTGGTTCCAGTGATGAGAGTGGTATAAACATCTGCATACTTCATCCACCCACTCCTCTCACTCATTCACTCCTCTCGCCACTCATCGATGCCCTGGCATGTTCCCGGTGCCAGGAACACAGTGGCCTGGGGGATAGACAGGGATCTGCTCACTGAGAGCACATACACTGCTGAAGGAGAGATGCAAAGCAGACAAGTAAATTCAGGTAGGGATGTAATGAAGAAAATAAAACAGAGTGGAGTGATAGAGAGAAACAGTGTACTTTACATTAGAGAGGCAGAGAAAAGACCTCTGGACTGAGAGAAGAACTTCTCAGGCAGAGGAAGCAGCAAAGGTAAAGGTCCTCAAGAGTAGGGTTGAGCTTTGAGTATTGAAAACAGGAAAAGTCAGGGTGGCTAAGCTTATACCAAGTATTACCCATTCCATCCTCACCTGCTGATTCCACTCTACTTCACTATCATGCTTCTGGGCACAATCAGTCCTGACTGTGAGGAGCTGTACAACTCTACACCCTGGACTGGGCTTTGCCAGGTGGCAGGTACCACTTCCCCAGCTTTGCTAGTAGCTCTGCACCAGTGCACAGCAGTGATTGGACTCTCCCTGATGGATGGGCAAATTAATCAGTGGATAAAGCAACCAGCCAACTCACAACTCCCAGGTCCAAGTGACTCAGGCCTTTGTGCATGGAAATGTTACCATTCGGAATTCTTTCAGCCCTAATTCAGACTGAAAGCCCAGCCCCTCATCCCTTGCTATGCTTTGCTTTCTTGAGGCACAGATTGCTTCCTCACCTACTGTATAATGTGTATATTTATTATGTTTCCTGTCTGGCCCTGTGTTCCCTTGCTGAATAAACACTGTTATCAGGAATATCTGAGGGCATTGTCCACTTGTGGGATTCTAAGTCCCAGCCTAGAGGTAGATGAAAAATGGAAGATTGAAGGAATGAATGAGTGAGTAAATAGACAATCAGTTCTTGGCTTCAGAGGACAGGGTCACAATCTCAGAAGTTCTATGAGCTGCTGGAAACAGAGACCTGGGAAGAAAATACTGGGCTGTGACCTTTCAGCACCTCGAACCAGAAAAGCAAAATAAAACAGACAATAACTGCCAGTGGCTTGGGGAGGGGCACCAGTTCAGTCTTAGACACCCAGCAGAACTCCCAGTTTTCTGATGGACTCTGGTTACGTAGCTTTGATGGCCTGATGACAGCAAATGACAGCGCCAGGGCTCCTAGATCTCTGCCTCTGCAGTCCTTTTGCGGTCCCTTTCTGCTGGGACTCAGACCCTAGTTTTGAGAACCTCAGATTTGCTCTCTTCCTTTGGTCAAAAGTCAGAGCCTAGTGACTTTAGGAGTGCTGTGTGCTACTCCAGGATAGATAGAAAAGGTAAGCACCCGGGTTCCCGGGTCCCGGCGTCCCTGAGAACCTGGCCCCGACGTTAAGGAGCCCGCCCCGTGCCCCCGCCCCTGCCCATCCCGGCTGCGCTGTCAGTCTCCATTAGCGCTAACAGGCTCCAGACCGAGCGGGCTGGGAGCTGGGTTAATGCAATCGGCGCGTTACCTGGGGCACAGGCTACATTACCAGCCCGGCCCCCGCGGTACAGCCAGAAGAGCCAACCCTAGTTCGTGCGGTCAGCTGCCCAGCGCCTCTAACGCTCCTCCAGCCGCGCCCCAAGGCCACGCGGCGGAGCCCTGCCGGGCTGCATCCCATAGCCCACAGAGCAGAGGGTCCGGCGCGCGAATCCCCAGCTGCAGGACACGTGAGTGTCAGTGCCGCGGGACCAGCATAGGTGGGCGGGGAGGACTCCTCAAGAGGAGTGTCCGGGAGCCCAAGCACAGACTTGTGAGCGCCTTGCTGTCGGAGGGTGCGCACGCCCCAGCGGGGACGCCTGGCGGCAAGGTGGCTCTACTGAGTCCTCTCGCTGTCCCGGGAAACTTCAGCTTCGGGAACCCAGGCCCAGGCGTTTCAGGGCTGCAGAGCGCTGGTGAACTAGAGCAAACGCCGCGGAGTCTTCAGCTGGCCTCACGCGGCGCTCAGAGGAGGTCTCCGGCTCGAGTTCTACCCCAGTTCCGCTTCACAACCTCTTTTTCTACATTTTTCCGACAGACTCGTCCTCCCCTTTCTGGTAACGCTGAGTCTGTTCAGCGCACACGGATCCCAATGCCCCCTCCTCCCCCGGTGGTCCTGGGCGGTCAAAGTTGGCGCAGGCAGGCAGGAGCCCTTGGTGACAACCTCTTTTCCTTTTCTACAAACAGAGCTTCGACGTGATCCTCCTCCCCTGGACACATGAAGTCCCTCTCGCCGGCCGCACCCATTCTTCTGGCGCGGATGAACCCGCAGGTGCAACCCGAGAACAGCGGGGCAGACCCTGAGTCCTCACAACCCTCTCGGGGATGCAAAACTGCGGATCTGCTGGTAGTGAAGGAGCACAACGGCGTTCAGTGCCTCCTAGCTCCCCGGGACGGGGATGAGCAACCTCGGGAGACCTGGGGCAAGAAGATCGACTTCCTGCTGTCAGTGGTAGGCTTCGCGGTGGACCTGGCCAACGTGTGGCGCTTCCCCTACCTCTGCTACAAGAACGGTGGTGGTGAGTGCGCTGTCAGAATGAGGCTTTCGGACAGGGAACCCACTTGTCATAATGCGGGGTTGAAAGGGGAGAAAGGACTTGGGAGAACAAGAAGGAGAGGGCAAGCCTGGAACGCTGGAGGACTTAAACAGGACTCATGGAAAAAGAAAGGTTGGAGTTCTTGATGAAGCGAGAAATCGAGACAGGACCTTGGACAGGGATAGGTGCGTGGGTGGAGGGATAGAATCTGAGGCACTTCCTTGTTTGAGGAACCCGATCTTTGGCGATCCCTGGGAGTGGAAGTGGAGATTAGGAGCGCTCTTCAAGGGGCACCAGCATTGTAGAGTATGTGGCAAAGAGAGGCAAGGTGAAACTAAGTCCAGCACTCTGAGTCTGGGGTTAGGGACCCTGAGCCAAGAGATGAGGGAGCACTTGGGTTCCTTGAAGCTACCTGGAGAGGCCTTCAGGAACAGAAACATTCACTAAGAGAAGCCAGTATTGGAGAGAACGCCACTTTCAAAAAGGTGGCAGTTGTGGCTCAGTAGTCAGCATATACAGCGTAGGCAGGGTTTGGTCAGCAGCTGCCAAGAACTGGCCTGCTCCTCAGGGCAGAAGACTTGGGTGGTTGGGCAAAGCCTCTGGCCACATGGCAGGGGGAAGTGTCAGAGGGTTCTGGAGGATATGGTGGAGGAGCCTTCCTTCAGCCCTCCTCAGGTGGTCAGATTATCCAACCCAAACTGCAACAAGGGCCTTCAGGTCGCTTAAGCCCCAAGGGCAGGATAAGGCAGATCCCCAGGCAAGCAGCTCAAAGTCAGAATGACTTATCCCTGATAACCCTAGTCCTGCCTCCTTTGCTATGATATGCTAAGGTTTCCCCTGCAGAGAGCCCAGTAAAAGACCTTCCAGAGGAAGAAATGGAGCCAGTTCTGGAAACCTCTCTTCACTAGGGCACCCTGCCTATCAGGGTGAAGGCTCAGGACATGAGAGGTCAGTGGCAGAGAGAATGAGAGTCTGGGGAAGGGTATAGAGGAAGCTCATGGCCTTGACCCACATGGCTATTTCTGTCACAAGTACTCTGGACACTTGCTTTGGAGTGGGCAAAGGGTGTGAACAGGGAGCAGGTGGCTCTGACCAGAAGATGCTGTGCATAGAACTATTTAGCTCTCAGGGAGCTAACCCTGCTTTGGAGCTGACAGACGAGAATTTCTATCTATGGTCTCCTCTGGTGCCTCCTGAGATAAGTCTGAAATTGTCAGACTACTGTCAGACAAGGCTTCTGGGACAGCAGTCTTAAACTTTAGGAGAAGTTGGGGCCTAGGACTCAATCCCTGGGAGCAGTTGATATTCCAGGACCTCAGCACTTGTATCTGGCCCCAAGTGGTCATGGGTAGGGAGAAAAGTGAGGAAAGGGAAAATAGAACCAAGAGGTGAAGCTGTTCCACATTTGAGGGCCATAACTTCTCAGAGATTTCTGGGGAGATTTATGCATTCTGGTCTTTAGGGCTCAAAGGAGAAAACACAGATTCTGTATATTTTTATTAGGCAGGAAGATGATGAATGAAGGACAGATTGTGAAACCTTAGGAGGCGCCACCCACCATGTCCTCAGTGGACTGTCCGAGACTGCCTGTCCCTAGACAGGTGAAGTCTCTATCATTAATCAGTTATATTTATCTGGGTCCTCTCAGTGTGAGGCATGATGTTTAGTTCTGTAGGGGTCATGTAGATGTATGAACCAATGCTTCTGCTTGCCCGGAGCTTTAATCACCAAAGTTCCTCATTGTCATGCTGGGAGAAGTCCTGTCCATTGTTATATCTATTTGTTGAAACTCAAAGCACCCCAGATGGTCAATTTGACACGTGAGCTAGATAGATATTCTAGGCCTTCCATTGACACTAGGTTCATGTGGCCATTACCACTAGAGTATTAGAGCAATTGTTGTGTGTGGGGATGACTAGTGCTTAGGGGACAAAATGGAGAAAATTTGTGACAAGTTCCAATTTTTAGGTGAGGCTGACTGATCACTCCCTCTCCTAGGCTTACTGGTTTTGTAATGATTCATCCTTAATTATTCAGTAATTTATCTCTTTGTGCATCTCTCTCAAACAAACTGGGTTACTTTGAAGGCAAAGACTATCTTTCTTATGCTTGTATTTCTAATGCCTCAAATAGGTATGCCTAGGAATGTAGTAGAATGTGCCTAATAAACTCTATTGACTAACTATATTAATGGAATGGTTTTACTGCTTTATTCAGAAAGCACAATAGAAATACAACAGTAATTAGCAAAGTGAAGCTCCACATTTATAGGATTCCTGGCATCCTAACTATTAAGAATCTTGGCTATGGAATTCTTCTTTCCAGTTTCTTTCTGTGTGTCATTGAGCAATGCCTTAAGCCTCACTTTCTTCATTTGTCCAGTGGAAATAATGGTGCTCAGTTCAGATCACAACTCAGGACCAAATATATTCATGCCCAGTGAGAGCCTGACATGGAACATGGCTTAGGAAAACTGGCTATGGTTTTCATTACCATCATTAGGTATGATGTTAATGATGATGTAAGTATGAAATGGAAGGGAAAGGTGCTAAGCACAGTAAAGGTTTGAGGAGGTGGAGCTTAGGAAATACTGAGGAGCGGTTGGCTGTGATTGGAATGCAGCTGCTCTGGCCTGGAAGGCCATGGGCAGCCTTGGGAGGAAAGGCAGTATTCCAGCTGTGCATGAAGAGTCACCTTGGAGTGGGAAAGATGAGGGTGGAGACGTAATTGAAGCTGTACTGTATATGATGAGAATGTTAAGCTAACAGGTAAGGATGCCATACTGGTACATTTCTATTTCTGGTTGGCATATCTGCAATTCACGTGGAAAAGCAGGGCAGCCCCCAATCTCAGAATATGCAGCAGCTCCTATTATAACTTTCCCGTCACCCTTGCAGAGATGTTTTCCTGGCTTGATCTTTACTGAGCCTCCTGGCTATTCCTTATAAATCAATTGTCATTCAGTAATTCCGAAACCAGTCTTAGAGATGGCCAAGTGGGTAGCCTGAAATTCCTGAAATTGTGAAAGTAGCCCAGAGACTTGAGTTTAAATCTCAGCTCAGCTGCGGTGACCTCAGGTACTGCCAAGTCTTTCTCTGAGACTCAGGTTCCTGGTAGAGAGGGACATGGGCTCATATGACTGGCAAAATTAATCTGTCTCTGGTGCGTTTGCTTAGCGCTATAGCTGAGCCAGATCTTACGACCCTGTCCTTTATCAGTCCCCAGCCTATGTGCTCTCCTGATGCCAATATTAACAGAAACTCTCCAAGTCTGAGCATTTGTGCTGGCTCAGACTAGAAGATGTTTTGACATGATCCAGGTGCCAATTGTTTAGGCCCCTGGCTAATATTTTCGAATGAATTACTGGCAAAGAGCAGCCTGTCTGAACATCTTCCTGAAGACCATGGAGGGATGACAAGCTGTGGAAGGGCACAGGCCCCCAGAAATTTCAGCACTTTGCAGAGAATTTTCTCAAGTACCTGTCCCCATGGGGGGGGCAGTCCAGGCGGGGTGGGCTATTTCCAGCACTGAGTGCCCCTCTGAGCCTGTAATGTTGTTCTTTGCTGGTCCCTGAAGAGAAACAGGCAAATAGACTTGGTGCTCACGTGTGGCCCTCTGCAAGGCAAGAGGCCACTGAGAATTATGCTCTGCAC